TTTGCTATCCGTCCAAGAAAACTAAACCTTCATGATCGATTAACCAGTGGAAAATCTTCTCTCGCTCTGCACGTTTCTTACTGCTGGTTCTGTGTGTGCGCGATCTGTCACACACAGAAGTTCTCACATGCTCTACAGACCCACAGAGACGCGCCTTTTCCGCCAAAATGCATCCGACTGTACTTTCTAAATCTCCTAAAATGTCCAGGATTCAGGTTTTACTTTCGCAATCTAAAGTTGTCATTATTTGTTTGCGTTTTTGCATTACCATTTCGCAGCTGACTGTGCGCACGCAGCCGCGAGAAAAACATTAAATGATTAATCATTTAATAAACTAAAATAAAATTACATATTCAATGGCTACAAAATATTTGTACACTATTAGAAATGGTCATATAACTAATTTGCCTTATTTAAAGAATCCACACTTTTTATTCTAGTAGTTATTATAATTTTTTTGCAATGTCTATTTTTATTCATTTTTTCTGAGATTTATTACTTATTTGCTGTATATTTTATTAATTTAATGATTTTAATTTATTACATACTTTATACATATATAAAATGTTTTGATGATACTGTAAATGTCATTCCAATATAGAAACTTCAGACAGAAAGAAAGAGAGAGAGTGAGTACCCTTTAACTTTCAGTGGGTGCACATGGCTCCTAAATAGCATAAAAGTAAGAGAAATGGTGGATTTCTATTATTTCAACAGCCTTTTTAAAATAACTTTATTCCATTGAAAAGAAAAGGTGTATAACAGTGTCATAATAAAAAAATATCAAGTTAAAAATCACATCATTTTTTGTTTGTCGCATGAAGTTGACTATGTGCTGTGGGGAAAAAGGGGTTTTTCATGTTTCATCAGTATATTTCAAACCTGTGGGAAGCGCTGCACACTGAGGTGATCTCACGAGGAAATGTAACTATTTTACGTTTTGTCAGATTAGTGGCTATTTTGTACAAGTTCAGCCGTATGAAAGTGTACCATTTGAAAAAGGAGGCATGGTACCCAACCACACCACTAACAATACCCCAGCCCCCCTCCCCTTGGGGTCCGGCCCACTTGAGAACAGATTTTATTCCATGCGGCTCCTGAGCTAAAATGAGTTTGACACCCCTGATCTAGATGAATGTTCTAATAACTACTGGATAACATCATAAGCCAAATAAAAGACTTAGGAGAGGCAATTCCAGTCAGATCAAAATATACTTTATACCAGTGGTATACTGTACCTCCTCAAAAAAAAATGTCTCTCCAAGTACCACCATGATGATAAGGCAGATTAATTACTATTGTTTATTATAGTCAGCCACTTTAAACATTATTAAAAGTTTGAACATTAACACTTTACTGTGCTTAAAGGTAAAACAAACTAACAAAACAAAAAGTCAACATTTAAAATGTGCTTTTTAAGTTAGTAAAATGGTTGGCTACTGTTCTTAAAGTAAAAAGAAAACTGCTGTACTTAAATGTAAAGTGTCAACAAATAGTAATCTATTGATCAACCTGAACATGTTGCTTGGACCTTATAAATGTAGGATAATTGTCATCATATTCATATATAAACCATTTTTGATAAATGTTGAAATATGTTGCATGTACACATATTAGTACATCTTTGAAATCTAAACATTAACTTGTATTTTAAAATAAATGATTTTGAATCACATATTTATATTAGAAATTAGATCTGCATGTCCTGTATATTACGTGTCAGAAAAGTGAGTGACTATATGCATAAATACACTGCTTGACCAATTCGTACATGATTTATCCATTCATACATGCACAATTTCGTTGATTTGAGATCTCATCTTAACTGGACCATGGAGTTTAACCGCACACAGAGACTAACGTTTAATTTGGCTATATTCTAACTCCAAGTTTCTAGCAAGGCAAAGTTGCTTGAGTCTATGTTCTGTGTCCCGCAACATTTGAATCACATCCAGATAAATTAGCCTAAATCTGAAAAATTATTCAAAAGCCACGCTGGTTTACAAAACAAATAACATTTATATTTCAATAACGCACATTATTTTACACAACTACGAGCACACATTTAACACTTAATAATTATTTTACCAATGATTTATTCATAAGAGTATACAAAATTATATTGACCACAATCAGTAACCGGTCATAACCTGAAAACAATCAGCTTATTTGTTACTTTTAGTTTAGTTTAGTTTAGTTTGGTGTATGTGTGTCTATTGACCATTTGCAATAATTGTTGATTTTGTATAATGAATTGTTTAAATGATTGTGAAGATTAACTTAGGAGATAAAGTTAATGCCCACATAAAGTAAGACGGCTAGATAAAAAAAGTAACACTTGCGATATTGCAAAAAAAAAAAATAAATAAAAGAAAAAGAGATAATTAGTCTGCCGTTATTACTGAAACGAGTATATTCCATACAAAGAGTGAAGCAGATTGGTTAGTTCTACTCACTCGCGGCATTGAGAAAAGTTTAAATGTTTTTCAGCTAGGTTTACAAGAAAAATGCATGTGTTCCATGTGCGTGCTGTTAGCACACCACGTGCACATCGCTCCTGTTGAAAATGACAAACTTACACCCTAAGCTTATTGGCATTACTTCTAAAGCGCATGTTGAACTTTTATTTTAATCGTTATTGAAAATGGTGTTCTTTCAATAAGTATTGATGCCGATTTTATCGCCCAGCCCTTTTTGATAAATGGTAAATTTTGACAAATCTGTTTATTATTTTGCTCTGTTTTTACATTCTCATGATAAAACTACTAAAAATCTGGACATTTTCAGCTCATATTTTAGAATTTTAAAATTGTCTAATTTTATTAACAACTCAAAGTTACCATTTTCTTGTTGAGTCAATTATTTATTAAGTAAAGTTTTAAAAATCTTTATCATTGGCACTTTAAAAAATTGAAATGAAAATAGTTTATTTTCAAATAGATATATTTGTTTCCAATATTCAATCTTTAATCAGCTATAGGCCTTGTGACTCTTCCACAGGAAAAAGTATCACTGTCCGTCTCCACTCTCACTACATCGCACATCTGTGCTCATTGGTCAGATCAGTTATCTTTACTATATAGTCGCTGGTTTAATTGGTCACATTGTCTGTCTTAAGTTTGTCTCTTCAGTAAAAGTGCAGGGCATAAATACCCCTTAGAAATCCTTCTGTGTAGTTTTTGGTTCTCATATAAACACAGACCATAGACTGACTGTAATGCAGAGGGCTTAAGTCTTTCATAAGAACATTTAAAGACTGTCTACAAAGCAATCTACTTAGTCACTTGGCACAGCTTTCTGATACAGTGTCACATAGGCTTGATCTTGTTAATCAGTTTTCACTGGCCTCCTCTTACTTTCCTTTTTAGAATTGTACATTTGATTTGATTGTTAGCTCTTCATGTTCACCCCTCCCTTATTTTGTTTATTTATTTACTTAATTACTTGCTTATCTACCTTCTTCTCTGGGGATTTGTTAAATACTGCTTGTTATTCAGTAGAGGTTGGAACTTTATTGTTGAGGTAATCCTGGGACATTTGTTCAGCCTGATCTTAACTCCACCAACTGTCACGTTGTGCTTGGTCGCTAGGATATTTTACCCCAGAAGAATTATAGAGGAACTTTTATTCATTACATTACTTTTTTTTATAGACAAAAAGATTTCCAAGAGATTTACATTTTAAATATGTTAATGTTATTATTCCCTTTATTCATTTATTCTATCATTGGTCTGCACATTATTGGAAAACATGACGTAAAATAGCAGAGGTGTGTGTGTGTGTGTGTGTGTGTGTGTGTGTGTGTGTGTGTGTGTGTGTGTGTGTGTGTGTGTGTGTGTGTGCGCGTGTGTGCGCGTGTGTGCGCGTGTGTGCGCGTGTGTGCGCGTGTGTGTGCGCGTGTGTGCGCGTGTGTGCGCGTGTGTGCGCGTGTGTGCGCGTGTGTGTGCGCGTGTGTGTGTGCGCGTGCATGTTTTTTTTTTATCGCAAAATTGTCCGCAAATTTCTGAAAAAATTTGTCATTTTTAAATCGCAATCAAATGAATGATTATATATATATTTAAAGTACATATTAAAAAATAATATTTTTTTTATGTATTTCCATTTTTTCATTTTAAATACAAATATAAAGCTTTTTTTTATCAGCAGCGATTCATTAGTATCACCTGATTTAATGCTCTAGAAGCATTTCCTATCAATGCTATTGTTCTATTAATGTTTTTGTTAAAGGAAAAAGTGTCAAATCTGTTTAAAAAATCTTAATCTCATGTGTTTATATGTGGCTCCTTAGAGATAATAATGTGTAAGATATCAATCCCAAACTGATAAAAATGATTAGCTGACGACAGTGAAATAGGATGCGTCTGAAACTGCATACTTCTATACTGTAAATTATGCTAAAATCAGTATGCGAGCCGAGTATAGTATGCCCCAATTCACAGAATTCGAAAATCAGTATGTGAAAAGTACCTGGATTACTACTTCCGGCAAGATTCTAAAGTGCGCATCCCATGATGTCCTGCTAGAGAATTCATGAATAGGAGTGAAGTGAAGCAACTGACGCAGGTAGGTCGCGTGATAATGACAATATGGCAGATGTAGTACGTCCGAATCCCATTCATACTTTTCAAATTCATACTGTATAGAACATACTTTTCTAATAGCCGAGTAGTACGTTTAAACTCAAATACAGTACCTACTGAGAAGTAGGCGGTTTCGGACGCAGCTATGTTTATACTTGTTTTTGATTTCACTACCAATTCTGCTTCCCTGTTGCTATTCAGTCATTTTTCCAAAGCAGCAGATGACCCAATCGTATTCATTCTTTATAGATGTCTCATTTTCTTTGCTTGTGGTGCTGCGGTAAGTCTTCACAAGCCTAGACGGGCCCTGACAATTACGCAAAGCTTTCTGGTGGTGGTTGCAGCTCTGCATCAGAACTCTCCGCTTGACTGTTTTAAACAGTTTTTATGTGTTAGTTATTGATGCTGTGTGTGTTAAAGGTGGCTATGGCAGAGGATGCCCGCAGAAGCCCGGCTGCTCAAATCTCAGTCACCAGAAACGGAGAAGCAGACAAGAGTCACGAGGACGTGTTTCAGAGGGTAAGACATCTTACATGGAGCAAACCAGGCATCAACTCACAATGGTGGCATTTGAGCAAAGAATGTTTAGACATGAATGTTTCCCAAGTATAATGACCTGATGACACTTAATGACACGCATCCTCTTTTCAGTGTTTCTCATGACTGTAGTTATGCTCCTAATTATTGGAAAGGTTGAACAGACTATTTTATTGTTAAAGCATACATTTCACAGAATAATAGGAACAGGACATGCATGCAAAATAAAAACCTGGTTAAAAGTTTTGTTTTTTAAATGAGAAAAATATATTTAAAAAAGTTTAAACTGACTAAAATATATTTAATCAATAGTTAAAGCTAATACATTGGTTTCAAATGATTGCTAAAATCAAAGTTTTAGCAGCATTAGTCTAGTCTGCCTAAACTGATACTTTTGAGCCACAAAATTATTTAATACGAATATTTTAATTGCGTTAATATATTTCTTTTGATCATTTGATTGTTAGCATGAATGCAAGATTTGCATCATGCAATTAATATTACATTAGCTTTCTACCAGCTCTGAAGTCTTTCCTCTCAAGTTACATGTCATTTTGGGTGTTTAATTGTTACATTTTCAACTTTAACTGCAGTTTGGCAGTTTCACTTTCATTCAGTAACATATTTTTTGTGGCCCTATGACAAACTGAGGTATTGGATGCAAGTATTAAGGAAGGACTGATTGAAGAGTTGTTTTAATGGTATTTGGAACCACACGCCGAATGAAAAGAAAAAAACCTTAAGGTCACTGCTTTAAATTGCTGTTTACATGGTAGACTCTTAATCAGAGTGCTGTCTCAATCATATTAAAATCGCAGCATTAGTGTCCAAGTTTAACATACAGTACTCTGAACATGAAAGTGCCAGAAGATGTTGCAAGCAGGGCCGGATTAACACAAGGGCTAGGTGGGGCTGAAGCCCCAGGGCCCACGGATGAAGAGGGCTCTTGATTGGCTGAAGCACCATTAATTTGCACAATGACGTGGCAAACACCTCTTTGCTTTATGCTTTCTCTAGTCGATAATTTAGAGTATTCCTTTCGATTCGCTACTGTTCAAAATAGTGACACCTAGGGATGGGTACCAAAACTTGGTACTTTATCAGTATTGGTGCTAAATTATAAAGGACCGAATGATCGATAAGCTCTGACATTATTGGTTATGCTATCGGTAATGGAGAATTGTTGCTGAATAAACATTACTTGGTTGCATAATTTAACTGACCAACCATTTCTAATTTGCCATATTCCATATTCGTCTGCACAGTTGGCAATCTCACATGAGAAATGCTCTTATTTCTCGCAAGCGCGTCAAGTTTAAAAGCCTTCGCTGAGTGCGCACGCACAGCCGAGAACTGTGGAGACTCGCGCTAAACACACACCTAGCTCGCAACAGACTTGCACACGCACAGCTTTTTAGTTTGCGGAGTAAACCAAACGGGTTGTATTTCCCGATTGGCCAGCGACAGTGCCCGTTGCAACAAATGCAACAAGTTGTTTTCTTGTATAAGCGGAAACGCAAGCAATCTGGCTAAGTGAAAGTATCTTTGAAAAGTGAATTAACTGCAGAGAGACAAATTAAAAGTTATTGACTGCTACTAACAGTAACGTCACATCATCCTCATTGTTATGCCAATCACCTAAATTAGTAAAACATTAATAGTTAAATAAACGCACACATTTAGTTGCAAGGAAAACAGTATTTTTTTTCTGCAGTAGCCTAAATAAATCTTAAACATTAAAAATGCTTTTACATCAGCTGTATTTACAAATATAGCCTATGAATAGCCTAATAATAAACTATGCTTATTAAGAAATTGTAATAAAAAACTGCTTATTTTTGCTTTGCAAGATGCTCCAAAACTGTGTTTAAAACACAGTTAACTCCCAAAACACTGTTAACTCATGTATGCGAAATAAACATAATAAACATTATCTCATTTACTTGCATTTTGCAACTCAATGAGGGTATTTTCAACTACTGGGAGCAAGAAACCAAGAAAGATCCCGACTTTTGCCTGAAAAGGCAAACATGTTGAATTTTCTACATGTAAGGTAATAATAGGTAATAATAAAGGTATTAATATAATAATAGAAGTAATAAAAAGGTAATAATAAAACAAATTGTTGTTTATTCGGTTAAATTTCTTAAGTTTTTTTTTTTTCATAAAAATCAAAAAACACTACAAAAGTACAGATAAAAGAACGGTTAATGTACCGAACAGATAAATGGTATCGATAAAAGTAGTAATACTGTTAAAACCTAAGGAATATCCATCCCTAGTGACACTGGTGCTAAACTGGGACTCGGAGTGGCTGTAGCCTAATCACAATATTAAATAATGTTAGCCCTGTTTAAGTCAGAACTGTCACGTCAAAGGTAGGCTAACCAAGCTTGTCGTAGAACAAAAAATAAAATTCAAACAGTCTTCATAATTGATTAACTTGTACATGTAGTAACAAAAGCTGGGATAGGCAGAATCATGCTGAATGGACTCGTAACTGAAGCACAGTTTTGTTGAGAAACAAGCAACTTTTGTAAAGCATCTGCTTTATGTTGGTGTGTCAGAATCCTTGCTTGTATACAATAGCCATACTTTAAAATGCTTAGTTTAAGCAAATTTGATGAACGAGATCATGCGTGTTGATGAATCTGAAGGGAGTTGATCACTGGATGCGCTGTGCTGCATGCTTTGCCTTCTATATCTTAGCAACAAGAACAAATGCCTAACATCGCAGACATTGTCTGTATTCCTCAAAGTTGTTTAGAATTAAATGTTTAAAGATGTTGTGACACAATGTGTACTTATGTGTGCTTTAGTGCACCTGATGCTTCTTACGTCCTTGTCACAACATTTAAACATTTAATTGATGCTCATTAAACAGTTTTGGTGTTGTCATTGTTGTCAGTTACAAAAAAATATTATAATAAAAAATCGTAATATTTTGTGGAAGCTGTCATAAACTATGGTTCAAGTTTTTTTGCATTAAATTAAAGTTTTGAATAATAAAAAAATAACAATATTTCATATAAGTACTGTTCATTGACATTATTATTAAGGAAAAAAAGAATTTAACAACTCAATCTATTGATCGCTAATAGAAAAAAATATTAAATAATAATCAAAATAAATATAACAAATTATATCATAGTGTTCAAATTAGTCAAGTTTTAAAAACATGCATTGCACCAATAATAATAATTACTTTTTTTATTGTTTTACTTGTTTAATTTGGTACACTAAATAATCATGCTACTGCTCTTATTCTACAACCAGTACACTATATTTCATAAGACCTGAGGTTTTTATTATGGTTTGTTATTTTATGGATAATGTTGGTTTGTTAAAGGGATAGATCACACAAAAATAAAAATGTACTCACTATTTACTCACCTCATGTGCTTCCAAATACTTAAGTTTCTTTATTCTGTTTAACAGAAAAGAAGATATTTTGAAGAAAGCTCGAAACCTGTAACCACTGACTTCCATAGATGGAAAAACAAACACTATGGAAGTCAATAGTTACTGGTTTCCAGCTTTCTTCAAATTATCCTCTTTTGTGTTCAACAGATGAAAGAAAGGCAAACAGGTTCGGAACCAGTGAAGGGTGAGTAAATGATGAAAGAATTTTCAGGTTTGGGTGTTCTATCCCTTTAAGCTCCACCTCCAGTTTCATGCAACCAGGTTGCCATTCATTGAGCTTGACTTCTCCCTATGAGCCTCACAAAAGTGTATTGGCTTTCAGGCAGCCAGTGAGCTCAAGGCTGAGTATTTAACTAAAAGAGTGTTGTGTCTATAGCAACAGTCTATATACTTAAACTGACTAACAGCTTCTATAATGTCACACTGCGAACATTGTGAAGAACGATTCAGAAACTGCAAAGCCATGCTGGTAGTATTTTGGGCCTTCTTCACATTACTTAGAAGCAAATAACATAATTAAAAAAGAATCTCTTAAAGTGCACACTATTTGGGTATCAGGTGTTGCACACTAGTATTTTGAAAGGTACCTATGACTGCTTCTACCCCTGGTTTAAGCTGAATTTGGTGCTGCCAGTTGTATACAGTGTTAAACAATCAAGCTAGAATGATACACCATGTTGTTTAGCAACAGACATCCAGTCATAAATAAATTAGTTCTTACTTCATAATATTTTCATGAACTTTGTACAGTTCAGAAACTTTCAGTGTCTGAAAGAAAAAAAAATAAAATAAAAAAACTTTTTGAAGTGAACAAGCAAATTTTTCTAATTTTGTATAATATTTTGGGTGACTTCAAACACTAAAAACTGACTTACTTGGTCTATTTTTCACAATCAACACGCACATTTTTTTTTCATTTATAAATATGTAAATAAGAGTGTTTGTAGTAACTATGTAATAACTGCATGTTATGTAAAAATGGCACACAATGTAATTATTACATTATTAAATACATTGTAATGAAATGTTTATAATGTCATACTTTTCACAAAATCTAATAAAAAATTGAGCTCCAAATGTAATACAAAAATGTACATAATGAGAAATGCATTACATTATAAACTTGACAAAAATACTGTCAGATTGTCATATCTTTTTAACAAAAACAATCATCAAATCAACAAACAAAAATGCATGCAAAAATAATAATAATAATAATAATAATAACTATAAATGTATATTTTCTAGAAGAAAATGATAAGTTTTCATTTCACAACATCATTATCACTGTATCAGAATATCACAGAGACATGAAGATTGGCACTTTTGACTGATGGTAGTAGCCTGAATTAACTAGATGCAAATAATGGTTCAAGTGCTATAATATGCTACAAATCCATATGAAGCATAGAAATTTTATAAAAACATCAAACTTGTGCTAATCTCACACTAAAAAAAACATTAAATAATATTAGCATCACCTATATGCATGTTAAAACATGCAAAATTTACTAATAACATTAAGTCAAAGGCTAAAATATTTTAACTGTAACGTTCACTTAATTTGCATAATGCTATTGTTGTTGTTCCTATATAAGATATACCCTGTTAATCACCAATTGGAGATAAATAATCATTGCCAGCTCCATTAGTGAAACGAGACACCAAATCCTCTATATTTAAATATTCAGCAGCAGCCACTGCTTTATTGTTGGATGGGATGATTTGAAGTGAAAAGGTCAATCACACTTTATTTTGATGGTCCGTTTGTTGAAATCAAGTTACACTGCATCTACATGCCAACTAATTCTCATTAGATTATAAGTAGACTGTTAGGTTGGGGTTAGTGTGTGTTGACATAAGTTGCTTATAGTCAGTTAAATGTATCAACAGATGGACCATCAAAATAAAGTGTTTCCAAAAGGTTTTTCAGGATGTCACAGCAAATAACCTACACTATAATGAAAACCCCACACTCTTAAAGCAGTTGGAATAGATTTGGACAAACAGTATATATGGTATGGTATATATGGCTCTCTGGGATTGCCTTGTTTTATTTTTTCTAGAACATCATTCATTTCTGTTCCTGTTTGTTATTTCTTATAAGGATATGTCACATGTCTCCTCTGGACCAGTCACATCGCACTTCCACAATTCACCTGAAAACTATGCAATGACTGAAGGAGTGGTACAAGTTGGGCCTGATGCAGGTTTGTATAACCTCATTGAACATTAATATCATAAGTATAAAGATGAAGATACAGTTCTTGTAGTTACTTGCTTGCGTATGTATACAATATGTTTTTTACAAAAGATTACATACAAATGTGCAATTTGTACAGAGACAGGTCAAGTCAAATCACTTTTATTGTCACATCCTCAGCAGCACGTGTGCTATGATGAGTGAACAGCTTGGGTGCTGGCTCCAGACAGTACAAAATACAGACAGTGCAAATACAATGACAGTGCAACATACATTTATTCATTCATTTTCTTGTCGGCTTAGTCCCTTTATTAATCTGGGGTCGCCACAGCGGAATGAACCGCCAACTTATCCAGCAAGTTTTTACGCAGCGGATGCCCTTCCAGCCGCAACCCATCTCTGGGAAAAGTGCAAAATAGAGATGGTGCAAATACAATGAATGACTGTGCAAAATAATAATAAAAAAATTAAATAATAAAACAGGACAATGTAAAATTGACAGCAGTATTTACAATGAATAGGTGTCCACATAGTTGTAGGCAGTATTGTTTCAAGTATTATTTGGTAAAAGTGCAGTGCGTGCTTCATATTGATGGTGTGAAGTGAGGACAAATTGTAAATATTTGCAATCATAATTTAAATTATTTGTTATTATTTGTAATTGGTATTTGAAAATTGTTATTATTTTAAAAGCTGCCTTTTATTTAATTGCAACAAAGCAGATCAGGGTAGATTAGGTGAATTTCTTTCTTCGGTCATTAGGTTAGTAGACTAGAGAATAGCATTGGTATAATCTCACTATTCAGTGCATCTAATGAAAGCCTACGTTTGTTTGTCTGTGTTTCTCTTTGAGTGTGTTGTGGAGAGAGGGACAATTTGAATTTGAAAAGAAAGGTGTTCCTGTCTCATTGCATAGCCGTCTGTGATCTTTTTTTCATCCACTTCCCCTTTCATTATTTCATCCTTGTCTACTATGTGAATTAATTTGTAGGATGGAAACCTAGCAACCTGTCATTAGCTGGGTGTAATTGCTGACCACCCCTTTTTGTTATTCCTGTACATTTCCCTTGACACTCTTAGGAGACTATTAGGCTTTTTTTTGTCTGTTGGCTTTAAAATTTTTATATTCATATGGTTCATATTGTAGATTTTTTATCATATCAAATTGGCAATATTGTGAAATATTAAAAACGTATGTATATACAAGCTTTTTTTTACTCCTGTTTTAAATCTCATAGAATTTAGTTGCTGGCACTGTAAATCAGTGGAATAACTTTTAACCCCTTAACTGTAACTGTTTTCAACGCATACAAATATGCAGATATCTATATAATAACTATATTATGTATGTGTGTGTAATACATGTTCATTAGTCAAGCCCGCAATTAGTCAACCCTTGGCAAATTATGATTTAGTTACTATTATTCAACCATCATTTTTTTTGCACTGAAAATTACACAGGCTTCTTCAAAAAATAATAAGACAACGTACAAGAGGCATCATTGTGGAAAAAATATTTATTTCTCAGCTTTTATTTTCCTTTGAACATAAAGTGGCATGTCCACAATTATTTATAACCTTTGCAAACTGTCACACTCTTGTTTTATACCATCCCAAGTAGTTTAAGCTGTTCTAAGTATCCTAATTACCCTGATTTATTGGGAACAGCTGTTTTAATCATCTCAACAGGTGAAAAACAGAAGCTCTCTGCTGTTGGTTTGTGGACAGTCATGACTTAAGCTGCGGTCACATTAGAGTTTAAGCATGCAAAATTCTGTCGTGCAGCGCTGCCAAAAGGGGCTGGACTAAACAGGTTTATTAGACATTTTAAAAAGCGAGCGATTGCTTCATGTTTTAAATTTCTGTCCAGAGAGGTCATGTATTCATGCAGTCAAGTTATGCGATTTCGCAGGTCAGAGTTCATCAAGCTTGAACTTTGCATTGCAGCAACCTGCGAAATTTGACGCACGACCCCACGTTTCCGCATTCGCATGCGTATGAATGGAAGTCTATGAAAGGAAAACCCCAGTGCGACCGCAGCTTAAGGCTAAGGAGCTCAGTGAGGACTAGGAGTGTGACGATAACTCCATCACCACATTATCGCCATAATCAGATGTTAGCCCTTTTTTAGTTAATTATTCATTTTTGCATTATTTTGTATAGAAAAACATAATAAACATAATAAAAATAATAAAATGCATGTCCTAAAAATTTCCACTTAAATGACAAATTTAGATAACAAAACCCAAACACTGACTGAATCAAGGGCTGCACGATAACAGAAAAAAATGCTAATCTAAAAATGCTAATATATAAATATACTAAGAATCTGATGCTTGTTAAATAATAAAATTTTGATTCCTCTTTTCAATTAAAATTTTTTACTCGCTACTCTGCCAGAACCTTCACCGCTGGAGAGCATCTTCAATAATAACCTAAACGATTGTTTAAAGATGGCCTGCAAGATGTGCTCAAAAGCGTGGCTACATGTGGTGAAGAACAATGACAAAGCTAAGTGTAATTATTGTAATAAACTAATAAGTTATGAGCAGAGTGTCGCGACCCAACATGACAAAGCATCTGCGGTTGGTTCATACTTCACGAATATCGAATTAAAAGAATGGCTTGTTAGGTTCTTTGTGCATCCAGCGGGAGCAACCAACAAGAGTTCTGCATTTTTAGTTTAACTTTTTGAGCGAGATGAGCAGTTCAGTGTTAGTTTTTGTTTAAATATATCGAAACTAAACAGCGCATTCTCTCCGCCTCCTCATTCACAAACATCGGGACGCACTGCTGAAGCACGCAGGAGACACGGCTTTACACTCAGTCATTTGTAATCTTGGCTTTTGGATCTGAGTCGAAAGAATATATTAAAGTTAAATGTTCTTTTAACAGCCTCGATATGTTTAATCATTTTTTCTTTTTTCCTGTCATTTCTCTTCAGCAAAATACATTTTTTAAAGCTGCTTGTTTCTTTCAAAACGGAAAGCAGAGCCTGTCAATTGGTGTTTTTCCATAAGATACACCTTTATGAATGTTTTATTTTATGAGTAAAGTCTTTCATGTGCTTTTTAATAATTTTATTCTATTCAAAGCAGCACTTACTGTAGATGCAAATTTATCCTTGAAAAAGTTGGATGAGAGCGATGCATGTGCCGGATGATTGTCTTTTTTTCCTGCGCCCGCAATCCTTTTGCATAAAGGTTTTAATCAAAAGACAGGCAATTTAATTACTTTCGATGTGATAAAATTTTTGTTAAACAAATGTTATTTAAAAAAAATCATATATACATATTAAAACTGTAAAACAGACTAACGTGCATGGTCTAATCGGAAATAAAGAAAATTTGTTATATATTTCATTACTAATTGCAAAAAAACAAAGGCCAGTCTTTTTATGAATTAAGTTTAATTGTTCTGAAACTTTTAATTGCATTTTTATTTCCTGTAAATAATAAAAGTTGCATCAGATTGATGAAAACAAACCTGAACCTGCGCGTGAACAGGGTCACAATTACTTTTTTTTTTTATCAAAACAATTAGATACAGTGTCTTCTGTCTACATAACTGGCAAACGCGTCAGAAAAAAACTGCTAAATCTTTGCGAATATTTGGTTAACTTATAAAACAAATTTTGTCTGGTTTAGTGATGTTAGAAATGCATAGAAAAATGCAAAGCAGAATTTTCCTGATTGCATTAACCCACTGATGACAGCCACTTTGTGGTGGCTTTTAAGGTGGTTAATGAGGTTTTTTGTGTTACCTTGAAAGGTTTGGACTGTGAACATGAGTAAAGGCTACCTGATCAACATTACATGTCTCGAAACAAACACTTGCAATCTAGACACAGTCACCTCATGCTTGTGATGCGGTACAATCTGTAAACTCCGCCCATTAAAATAATGGCTTGGCCTTTATACTGTAAAATCACAACAATATTAACTTATTGATCGTGAGCCACAAATATCGTTATCGTGATCATAATATGATTAATCGTGCAGCCCTAACTGAACTTTTTAATATTCAGCATAGGCTGTTTTTTCCGTCAAATAAATATAGCAGGCCTACTAACTCAAATCAATCGCTCCACAGAAAATACTGTAAGCATTTTAATTCTCTGCTGTAATTTCTATACCACAAACCTCTATCAACATTTTTAATACAAGTCATTATTTTAAAGATTATTTTCTCCATCTCACTCATGGTGAGTTCAGGTGACATGCTCAGGTTTGTGTACAGTGTCAAACTGGCACAGAAATATCAGTATATCAATATAGGCCTTGCTGAAAGTCTGTTGAAAAGTATTTTTTACAGATGCTATAAACAGACGCGCATGCTGCGGCCGCGATAATGAGAGACAACAAATCGCATATGTGTTGACAAAGTGTAGGCTACAGGCTACTATAGCATATAATAATTTTGTTTAAATAAGTTTATTTAAAATGTAACCAGTGTATATCACAGTGGTTTGTGAAACAACAATGGGGACGTACAAAAATATATAATTCATATTTTTTTTGATGGGGAAAAAAATATTTTAGGAACGAAATTTGTTTAGTACAATTCATATCTTAATTTTAATGTATTAAAAAAAAAATATTGGTCAGTTATCTACAAAATAAACAAGAATATTTAATCAACAAGGAGGACGCCACTTCTTCAGAGAAGGCACACAAAAGCCTTAGAAACCTTAGAAGTGTTTTAGGGGGTGTTTTTCAACCAGTGGAACAGGGAACCTAATAACAGTAAATAGCACATTCAAAAAGGAGCAATACATCAAAATGTCCAACATCATGCAGTCTGCAGAGAAACTTTGCCTTGGCATTAGTGTTCATTTTAGCACAACAACAACCCAAAACACACAGCAAAAGTGGTGAAGATATGGTTAGCAGACAAAAACATAAAAATTTTGCCGTGGCTCAGCCAGAGTCCTGACCCAAATCCAATTGAGAATCTGTGAAGGACGCTAAAGATAGTTTATGATGGCAAGGAGACTCTCCAACTTGAAAGAGTAGAAGCATATTGCTAAAGATAAATGGGCAAAAACACCAATGAAGATGCACAAAAAGCTGGTCAGCAATTCTAGGAAGCAATTGATTGCTGTAGTAACCAATGAAAGCTTTTCTGTTTATTGAGAAGAGTATGAATAATTTTCATTTTATTGTGTTCCACCTCTGTGGCTGTACTTTACGATTCTAATTATTCAGAGTCTGAAATCATCAAAATTAATCACTGACCATTTTTAGGGTCGCCACCACAGACCAACACACCTCGAGTTGTGGCAAGTCCTGCAGCAGCCAGTCGGCTCGCTCGCAGCATCAGCGATAGTCAGGTGGAGATACAGAAAGGTACAATAGACTGTAACTGAAGATGCCACGCATTTGTTCCTCACTAATCACACTGTATCCCACTAAAGACGCTGCTTGTTCTAGTAGATTCCCGTGATGTCTGTTAAGTTGAGCAGTTTTCAAGAGAAATTCAAGAGAAAGATACATCTCCTCTGACTTTGACTGGTGTTTTGCTTTTTTTTAAACTCTGCCAACTCTGGTGTCTTCAGGTCTCTTGTCTTCCCTCATTTCCTTTTTAATAACTTTGAGTTGGGGCTCATTTATCTTTGCTGACTGCACTATAACATTTTGCTTTCCTGACTGATCACACTGGATAACGATTGATTTTAATTAATAATGAATTTAGTTATTTCCACTTTTTCCCCTCACAGGCATTAGTAATGCAAAAAAAAATGCACGGCTTTTATTATTTCCCAGTGTCTCTACCGCCTGCTTTTTAATGTTTAATATTGTTCATCCTGTTACATTAATGTTATTTCTTTAGTATTACAATTTAAAATTTCTTTTAAGTTTTTTTTGTTTTGTTTTATGTATTTTTGTATTTTATTTCAATAATTTTAATGTCGTTAACTTGTTAAAGAAAATTATAGAAATGAATAAAAAATAGTCATATATTTATATTATTTCGGCTTTATTTTATTCCTTTTTATTTATCACATTTATTCAACAGTTGATATGTGATATGTCATATATATATATTATGTGATATGTTATATATATATATAACTCGATTTAGCCTATCACACAAAACCTTATTGCATCAGTTGACATATTTAGGGCCTGATAGTTTATGCCACCGATGCTCAAGCAGAGTAAAGGGTTTTTATCATGTCACGGTCAATTATCATGACAGTAAACGGACTCATTCTGTCATTAGGTGCTTTGAGAGAGCAGCAGATGGGAGGTGCAGTGGTTCTTGCTGATGATATAAAGAGTCCTGCTATAGAGAAACTGGAGCTGGTGAGGAAGTGGAGCATCAACACTTACAAAGTGAGTTATTCTGATGTCATCTGTTCTCACTAAAAATCCTGTAAGCATCCATGTTTAAAAACCTGTGTAAGTTCTCTTTTTCAGAATGTGTTTTTAAAACATGTATGTATACATTTGTGGTTAAAAGTTTATATGCCTGACGAAGGATCTGTTAAAATGTGAATAAGTTTAACAAAATAAAGAGAGATTATACAAATTGCATGTTTTTATTTTATTTTATTTTATTTTATTTAGTGCCGTATAATGTAAAATCTGGTTGAGATATTTTATATAAAAGACGTTTATTACATATTCAACTAAATCAAAAAAAAAAAAGTTGGGTAAATGCAAATAAATAAATAAAAAATAAGTGATTTCTAAAATTAATTTGACTGTCATTTCAGACAATATTTTACACATTGCACATTATTTAGTGAGTTTCACGTGATTATTTATTTTTTTATAAACGTATTCTATTTTTGATTCTTGCAACAGATAAAAACAAAAAATAATAGAAACAGTAAAGCATTTAACACTTACTACCATTTAGGGACTGAAGACACAAAGTTATCAAGTGTTTCACGTGTAACTTTGCCCCATTTTTTCTGTAAACAAGTCTTAAGGTTGCCAACAGTATGGGGTCTTCATTGTCACATTTTGTGCCTCAAAATATGCCACGCATACTCTATTGGAGACAGGTCGGGACTGCAGTCAAGTACCTGTATTCACTTCCTCCTCAGCCAGGACTTTGTTATATGTGGTTTTTGGCCCTTTTTGGTGTCTCAGGAAAAGAAGGCTGCATTCTGTTCTTCAAAATCTCTATGCACTTTTCACATTAATGGCACTATCACAGAAGTGCAAGTTACCTTTGCCAAGGGCACTGACACAACCCCATACCATGACAGACTGTCCATCCCAGATGCTTCCAAGCCCAGAGAAGTCAACAGCACTTCTGGACACTGTTAACATAGGGATTCCTTTTGGCACAGAACAGTTTTAACTGCCATTTGTGAATGTAACTACATAGTAGTCCTGTGCCTATGTGGTGATATTGCTCATAGATTAATTAAAATTATTTAATGAAGTGCTGTCTGAAAGATCTGAGATCACGGTTGTTCAGCTTAGGCTTGCGCCTTTGTCTTTTACGTACTGAAATTCCTCCAGATTTCATGAATCTTTTAATGATATTATGCACTGTTAAAGGTGAAATAATCAAATGTCTTCCTATCTTTCTTTGAGAAACATTGTTTTTAAGCATTTCAATGATTTTCTCAGGTATTTGATGTCAAACTGGCGATCCTCTGTCCATTTTTGCTCCTAAAGGACAAGACCCTTCTTGAATGCTGCTTCAAATCATAATTACAATCACCTGTTGATATCACTTTTTCAAATCACATCATTATTAACCAATTTACCTGATTGCTAGCCTTAAATTACTCTCAACTTTTTTTTAGAATGTGTTGCGTTGTTTTTGCATTGAAATGGAGATCTTTGGACTAGAAACAAGACAAAAATTCTTAGTAAGAATTTTTGCATAAATCATACAGTATAAATTCCATATGAATACAATTCTGTAGCTCTTGGTCAACTATAATTCAGTCTCAACATTGCATATCCTCCGATGTGACTTTTGCAGATGCACATATTGCGATATTGACGCTGAAACGCTACCTCATTAATGCAACTTTTATTTATCAGGTCTGTTAACACATCTTTTTAGACATTTCGTATCTTCTATCTCTCTTTGCAGTGCACAAAGCAGATTTTGTCAGAAAAGTTAGGCCGTGGCTCCCGCACAGTTGATCTGGAGCTGGAGGCTCAGATCGATGTTCTTCGGGACAACAAGCGCAAATATGAGCATGTGATCAAACTGGCGCAGACTCTGTGCACTCAGCTGGAGCAGATGCTGATGACACAGAGGCAGCTCGGGGATGCGTTTGCTGACCTTAGTCTCAAGACGCCCGCGCTACATGTGAGTACATCAACCAATATTTAGAAGATCCATCAAGGTGAAAGAGAAAAAAATGTTCTGAGTGAATTGAGTGTTTTATTTTAGGGCTTGTGTACCTTAGGTGATTAACACATGTGATAAACATGAAGATCAAACTAAATTATTGAAGAGTGATTACAAGCAGTGCTTAACTTGTAAATGAGTGATTTGCGAAACAAAATGAAGAAATAAAAGTTACAGTGACCAACGTCTGCCACACAATTTTTTTTTTTTTCGAAACAGCATTACTAAGCGGTTAAACCGAAAGAAAAAACTGCATAATTTCAATCAACCATGGATAAAAAAAAACATGTTGCTACAAACATAAATCGTATAAACCATCACTACTCCGTTTACTTACACCGCTGACATTTAGTTCACTTCACTATTATGTGCCAAGTGAAAAAGACTCTGTCTAATCTTCAAGAAGAGCTTGACTTGAGATACCTTTGCTTCTGTCTCCCGTTTTCCTGATCCAGGGGTACAGTTTCATCTTCTCAAGATCTCTTTTGATCAGGCTCATTATCAGATTTACGTGGTTTTAAAATGTATATTTACATGCTTGACTGCCTCTTTGGCATTTTGAAAATACAAATATTATTTGGGTAAGCCACTGCCATTATATGTTTTCGCTGCTCACTGTGTGCATAACAGTCACCAACCAATGAGAGTGATTGTAAACGCAAGAAAGCACATTGGTGGAAAGTGAATACAGCTTTGTTTCTTTGTTTTTCACTCCGACTTCACATTCGCTCTCTCTCTCTCACAGACACACACATGCAGGTATTCATCATGCAAAAGTTGATGCCGAATCAATTAAAATAAATACTGAAACATAAAACACGAATATCTGACATTTCCCGGAACAGGGTCCGGCTCAAATTAGGCACTGGTTACAAATATTAACCGTCTCCAACTCATGACAAAATTTAAGTCTAAATTTACATGTTTTTTTGTTTGGGTTCACTTAAATAAGTTACATAAACAATTTGTCACCTTGGAATTATAGTTCTATCTACATTTAGAATGATTTTAAGATAATGAGCTTTAAAGGTTTTGCATTCCATAGCAAACAGTATGTGTGTAGCATTTGTTTTTTTAGAAAAAAATGATTAATGTAAACAACTTGTAAAAAAAGATCCCATAATGTAAATAAGTTGTTATTTAATAAGAATATGTCAATTACTCAATTTTGACAAAAATGTCAGATAGAACCTGTTTTTTCTAAGGTAAAAAAATTACATGAAACATCCATTTTCTATATTATTTGCAATTTCTGTAATACATTTTAATGTCTGTACCTACACTCAAAAATGAGGGTGCTTTCACACCTGTTAATCGATTTATTTGGTCCAAAACAGGGATTAAAATTGTTACATTGTTGCTTATTATTATATTGGTGTGGTTCTCTTTCACAAGGCAAAGTTTCTAAACGGACCAAAAGAGCTAAAACAAGTCATGTGTGAGTAAACTCTCCTCACATTGGTCAGAGTTTCACAGTTTATTTTGCAGAGACCCACTCAGCTGTCACGGGGGGGTGGTGGTTTGGTGGTGTTTGACAGGGTGCGCACGACATGTCTTAAGAGCGAGGAGGGATCTCGCCCCACTCATAATTCTCTCTTCATAAAGCCGTATGCCTATTACATATGCATAATAAACTGTGAGATAGCCGGGCTCGGATTGTAGCGCTTTCTCACTACAATCAATCTGCTCCAGAGTTTGTTTCAATCGAGTCGAGACCACCTTATTCAGGCAATCTCGGACCGATTTTTGCCGCAAATCTGTGCGCGATTGCTGGATTCACATATGCCAAATGAGACAGGTTCCGAAACAAAAGTCTAGGTGTGAAAGCACCCTGAGATTTGATGTTTGCTCAAGGTACTACATCAAAACGAGTGGAACACCACAAATCTTGAGTTTTTTAAGAAACAAGTTAAGTGTGTTATGTGCAATCCACTTAAATTTGTAAAAAATTAATAGGTTACCTTACTTCCTTCATATTGTCCCAACACAAATCGACTGTGTGCAACCCAGCATTTTTTACAATGTTCTTTCTTGTAAATCCTGTTACATATTTTGTAAAGTTAAAATTTTTAAATTACCGAAATGAAAAAAAAAGAATGTAACTTGCAGAAAGCATTGAGGCACATCTCATATTCTTCTTTTAGTGTTTTTTGCTAAATGTTTATGGAACACCTTTGTAAACTTTGTTATTTTAATATTTCAGCAAATCCCTCATTCTCTTTTTAAAAACAATAATATAATGAAAATGCATGCATTTCTGTTTTACACATGCCAAGTGGTATTTGGTTTAGCTTTTTGAGTTGAAGGACAAAATGCTGGAAAACGTCAACTCTGTTAGTATCATTTTTTTGTGTGATTTAAATTAAGCAACAATTAGAAATGGCATGAAATGTTTCCTAACACATTTAAATGTTTCCTAACACATTTAATAATTTAGCATTACTTAACATTTAAATATGGATTCTGTTTACTGTACATTGTACATATGTTTGATATCAATCTAGTTTTTTTTTCATTGTGATCATTGTCATTATATTTATTTCTGTGTTTCAGGAGGAATTTGGCTACAATGCAGAAACCCAAAAACTCCTGGCAAAGAATGGAGAAACTCTGTTAGGAGCGATCAGCTTCTTTATTGCCAATGTTAAAACTCTAGTGGATAAAACTATAGAGGACACCTTGATCAACATTAAGCAATATGAAGCCGCAAGGTCTGAACCGATCTTTTAAAGCACCTTTATATTAGAACCATGGACAAAACCAACTTCATTCTGTAAGCTTTGTGCTGTCTTTTGGCAGGATTGAGTATGATGCGTATCGCACAGATTTAGAGGAGCTCAATCTGGGTCCACGGGACGCAAACACACTCCCCAAGATCGAACTCTCCCAGCAACAGTTCCAGATCCACCGTGAAAAATATGAGAAAATGCGCAATGACGTCTCGGTCAAACTCAAGTTTCTAGAGGAAAACAAGGTATGTTGATGAGTCTTTTGAAATCAGCAGCAATTTAATAATGTATGTGTCTTTTCAAATCTGTATGTCTGTCTCATTTTAATGGCTGTTGACTGAACATGTTGATTAAATGAATTGGTTATAAAAAAGTATACATATAACATTTTTAATCATTTGAGCCATGTTATACAATAATATCTATAATTAATTCGCAGACTATTTAGTATCAGTTGTAGTATGCATAAGCAATAAATATTTGCCAAATTGCAATTTGAATGTTCCTAAAAACAAATTGTATTTTCCCTAAAAATGTTATTTTCCAAAACACTGCACCTTCCCTAATTTCTGGACTATCTGCTGTTGCAAGTATCAAGTTATATAGGTTATTCTGTAGCCTAAATAAAAATCTTGTTATTAATTATTCACCCTCATGTTGTTTTAAACACCCGAGACCTTTGTTCGTCTTCAGAGCACAAATGAAGACATTTTAGGTGAAATCTGAGAGCTCCCTCATCCTCCATAGATAGCAACAGTATAGAAAAATACAAAACAAATTTTCAAAAGAGACCATACGCCTTCAATATTATCAAGCTGTGAGAATGCTTTTGTGAGCAAATACAAAAAAAATACTTAATTCAAGCGTTTTTTCTCCTCAGTGTCAGTATAGGGAGCAGGCTCATGAGGATGAGAGAGCTCTTAGATTTCACCTAAAATATCCTCATTTGTATTTTGAAGACAAACGAAGGTCTCAGGTTTGAAATGACATGAGGGAGAATAAATAATAACAGAATTTTTAATTTTAGTTGAACTAACCCTTTGGTAGATACGGGGAAAAAAAACTATATGCAAGTTGACTGTATGCACGTTCAGTGTCTGTACATTTAAAATCTTATGATGGTAATGTTTACATTGATTTTCCTAATTGTATTAACTTGCCTTTCCTCAAATGAAAACCTCTTGTTTTCAACATTTCTTTCTCAATTACTGGGTCATTTTAAAACAGCAGAACACATTTTTGAAGTAAATTGTGATATGAAATGCAATTTCACGTGAAAACATCCTATGGGGTTTCTGTGTCGAGTTTAAATGTTCTATCTGTGTTGGCGTGGATTTCCTCCGGGTGTTCCGGTTTCCCCCACAGACATTTGGTAATTTGGGTAGGCTAAATTGTCCAAAGTGTATGTGTGTGAATACGTGTGTATGGATGTTTCCCAGATCTTCCCAGCTGGAAGGGCATCCGCTGCATTATACATATGCTGGATAAGTAGGCGGCTCATTCCACTGTGGTGACCCCAGAATAATAACGGGACTTAGCCGAAAAGAAAATGAATGAATAAATGAACATCCTATTGGGGAAATCAATGCTAAATTATAACTCTGTTATTTAGTAGTTTAAATAGGAACTCATAAATAGGATCATTGCAGTTGTGGTAGCCTGTAGTTCACAACATTTTTTTCCCCTGAAGAGCACTATTTCTACTTAAATCTGATATTTTTGTATAGATGTTCAGATTGCAGATTTAATGTGGTTAATATAAGATTTCCAGTGAGTCTTGTGAGAGTAAAGGACATTGCCAGATTGTTTAAAATAATTATCATTACTGTTTTCACAGACACAAGTGTGTATTTTGATTATTAAAACTGTAATAATAACCATCTAGATGGGATATATGCATACAGGCTTTATATTTCAGTCAGCCTCAGGTTTCCGGTTAATTGTGATCCCGTAAAAATCACCATGTTTAGATCTGGTTTCTTTAAAAAAATAAAATAAAAAATAAAAAAAACACCGATTATCACTGCCTGGCTGAGATACGATATAAAGTGTGTATCAGACCAAATAAGAAGCACTGCATTAAATAATATTTTTCTGCACCATGTCTTTAAAATATAAAAAATACAATTTACCCCAGTATTTTCAATGGAGTGTCTGCGCTAGCCTGCTGCTAATGATGGTGCTAGCGTTAGCGTTTGCTTTAACAACCAAATGAATGTTCAAGTCTATTTAACTGATTATATTTGAATTACATTACCACATCAATGCTGTAAAAGGAACTTTATGAAATTGAAAATAGTTACGCAAATCTTTCATTGGATCATTGTCTGAACAACACTAGCTGTGCATATAGCCCATTAAGCTACTCATCAAATTAGCATCTGCTTCCTACTTGTAGTCTTAAAACTAGAGATTTGACCTTGATGACCCCTCACAAATCTTTTATGACCTTTAGTGGGTGTCTGGACCCCCAGGTTGGTACCCACTGGTATAGACTACACCAAAAATTTGGGATGCATGAAATGATTCCACATATTATGAGTAATTTTTAAAAAATGGGGGGCGCAGTGGATATCACTGTCACCTCACAGCAAGAAGGTCGCTGGTTTGAGCCTCAGCTGGGTCAGTTGGCATTTTTATTGAGTTTGCACAATCTCCCTCTGTTTCGCGTGGGTTTTCTCTGGGTGCTCCGGTTTCCCTCACAGTCTAAAAGACATGTGCTATAGGTGAACTGGGAAAGCTAAATTGTCCATAGTACATCAGTGTGTATGGGTATTTCCCAGTGATAGGTTGCAGCTGGAAGGGCATCCGCTGCGTAAAAAACATGCTGGATAAGTTGGTGGTTCATTCTGCTGTGGCAGCCCCTGACTAATAGGGGGACTAAGACCAAAAGAGAATACATTTTTATAAATTTTAATTGTTGAAACATAGTTACAGTTGTTAATAAATTTTGCTAATATGCTACATACTGCAGTTTGATTATAATGGGTAAGGTTTTTTTCAGTGGTGTTTTGATAAATGGAATTAAAATTGGTTTCATGGTATAAGTTAGAATGATTATCACTTTACACAGACTGAGAGTTAATTGAATATATGCGCTGGTGAAGCATGACAGCAAGCTTTAAGCTTCATCTGAAACTTTTTGTACTGTAGTGATATTGTAATGTTTATATCATGTAATGTATCTTTTAATCACATTCAAATCATAATTATTTATTTATATGTGTATATAATCGGTCCACATAGTGCAAATGTGAAGTTTGAAAAGTAAAGTTTACAATCTTACTTTAAAAGTACTTCTGAAGTCTACCCTTAATGTGTGAGTTACTGAGCTCTCTAAAATGTTGTTTCCTCCTTAGGTGAAGGTTTTACACAACCAGCTGATTCTCTTCCATAACGCCATCGCAGCATACTTCGCAGGCAACCAACAGCAGCTGGAACAGACCCTTAAACAGTTCCACATCAAGCTAAAGTTACCAGGGGGAGAAACCCCGTCCTGGCTCGAGGAGCACTGATTGAGTCAGACGGTTTGATCCACAGCACACATTTAAAGGGATAGCTCACCCCTAAAAAAAAAACACACATTCTCTCATGTACTCATCCTCCACTTGATTCAAACATGTTTGACTTTCTGTCTTCTGTTGAAAATAAAAGTAAGACATATTTAGGGATGTTGGAAAAAAACAGCCATTCTCTTCCAGGGTATATTTTTGATTCCTACCAATATTCTTCTGAATAACTGAACTTTTTGTGTTCGGCAGAAGAAATAAATTCATAAAGTTTTAAAACCACTTTAGTATGAGGAAGTAAACATTTGTCGGTGAACTATCCCTTTAAAAAATGCACTCCATGAGGAAACCAAATCCAAAAAAAAAAAAAAAAAGCAAAAACGTCTCCCGTCACTCCTTTCTCTTTTTACTCTTTTCAGGACACTAAAAACCTGTCGATGAATGTACGAGACAGGAAACCGTTTTTGATAAAAGAGAAATATTTAGCTCTTCGCTTTGTTCTTGCTATGTCTGACTTTACACTTGAAGTTTAGGTTTTAAATAAATGCTTGTTTTGTCTGAGAGTTTGCTCTCTCTTGTGCAGCAAAAAGAAAATAATCTTGTTGTTTTTGAATCCAGTTACCAGCACTTTATGGTACAAGAAATAGAGATAAATTGATCAGGAGGACATGAAAAGAATGTTGAGAGCCTTTAAAGTAGTTTTTGACAATTATGATTAAATTCTAAACAGTTTTGGACTTTAAAAAAACCTTATCAGTCTGAGACTTTTTAGAGTCGAGTCTAAATGAACTTGCCTTTTCTAGAACATGCTGGTATCCACCTCTCCTGTCCTTTCTTATGTACTGTAATTGCATTGTTGTATTGTCATCACATATAATAGTATAATCTTCATGCACACTGCCGTCTTTGAGGGCAGGTTGATCTGGAATATTAACTATGCTGCATTTACAAAAAATCAAAAAGGGCAGGTTATAAATTCTCAGTCTTTGGCATTTTACCTTTTGTAGATCCCATGAGTAGGGGGAATATGGGGCTTCATTTCTGACTAGATGTGCCTTGCTCTGTCAATCCTCAATTCTAATCATCTTCAGTGTTTTCAGGAGGAGAAAAAAAATACTTCCATTGTCATCCTTTAGACGATAGAATGGACCAATAAGCACAGCCCTGGATAATCACACATGCAAATAGACCAGCATACTCTATTTAACTTGAAACTACAATCCGTGTTACCTTTTTTCTTTTGTTTTATTGAGTTATTATAAAGAACGTTGCATTCCATTTCTTTAGTAACTAAGCCAGGAAACTATTTTGTACAAAATGTAAACCAAATTGATTTGTCATGAAATAGGATCTCTGCTGCCTCATACGTTTGGTTTGTTGTTGTTGTTTTTCATTTTTGGTGGAAGAACAGCTATTCTGAATCATTCCCCTCTAATTATTGTAGTGTCTAATGAGTTTAACTCTGTAGACAAAAAAAAGCTGAAACATTTGGTTATTCCAGTACTAATTCACTTTAGATTTAGCCATGGATAGCAATTCAGCCGTGGCAGTAAGTTTGTGTGTGGGGAAATTATAAAAGTGAATGTAGAACAAAGTAATATAAAACTATATATATTGATGCCAAATGGGATGATAAGTTTGACTGTTATTCAGAATTCAATATGATGCAGTTGTTTATTCGTGGAGAAGCTTAAATTGTCTCAAATCTGGTTCACCTGTGTTGCTTCTTTTTTATTTGACATGCAACTAACTAACTACCTTCATTTTCTTCATTTTCTGTGTGACCTTTCAGTTCTGTCCTCACAGCAGACAGACACCAATGTATAGTAAATGTATAAGAACTGACTGACATGCATAGACACATCTATATATTTGTAAAATCTTGTATTTTACCTTGGGTATAAAAGAATTTTGCTGTGTGCTTTTTTGATGATTTGTTGATTTAACAAATGGAATGGGTGTTTAAGGGCAAAAATAGACAATGTTCTAAATGTTGAAACATGGGAGACAATAAAACTTTACATTCTTAGGTTTTCTGTATGATTCTCTTTTTTTAAGAAGTGATTATCTCTTGGACTGAATGGTATTGATTTAAATGAATTATAGAATCCAATAATAAAAATAAAATAAGGAATCCAACAATAATATATAAAATTAATAAATAAATACTAATTAATAGATAAATACAGTACTTTAATGGACAGAAATGTACAGTGCACAGCATAAGTACAGCCCATTTTGAAAATGAAAATTTGTATCCATTCCTCAGTAAATATTAATTTTTTATATATATACATATATATATATATATATATATATATATATATATATATATATATATATATTGGTGTATTTGAACAAAACAGATTCATTAAACATTTATTAAAATGATATTTTAGTCACCAAAACATTTTTAGAAATGAAAAGATAATACAATTAAATTCAAGCAAAATATTGCAACATATTCAAAAAATACAAACTACGTTAAAAAAATTATATATTTTTTGTTTCTCTTGATTTTTGCCTGTTTTGAACATGTTATTTAATATTTTTTCCTAACATACATTTGGGCTACTAATTTGTGAACCATTATTTATTTTGTTAGATTAGCTCCAGATTTGGCTTCAGTACTGACTAATTTAATGTATATGCACAAATATATTATTGTAAAGCTTCTTATAGAAAATATTAATTTAAATGAGAGATTTGTGGGGGGCTTACTCCTATATGCTGAGCACTGTATTTAAATACAGTTGAACTCAGAGTGATTAGCCCCACCTTTAAATTTTTGTTTCTTTTTTTAAAAATATTTCCCAAATTATGTTTTCACTGTACAGTATGTCCGATTATATTTTTTCGTCTGGAGAAAGTCTTATTTCTTTTATTTCGGCTAGAATAAAAGCAGTTTTGTTTTTTTTTTAAGAACATTTTAAGGTCAAAGTTATTAGCACTTTAAGCTATGTATTTTTAGATAGTCTACAGAACAAACCACCGTTATACAATAACTTGCCTAATTACCCTAACCTGTCTAGTTAACCTAATTAACCTAGTTAAGCCTCTAAATGTCACTTTAAGCTATATAAAAGTGTCTTGAAAAATATCTAGTCACACATTATTTACTAGCATCATGACAAAGATAAAATAAATCAGTTATTAGAATTGAATTATTAAAACTATTGTTTAGAAATGTGTTGAAAAAAAAATCTGTTAAACAGAAATTGGGGGGAAAATAAACAGGGGGGCTAATCATTTAGGAAGTCAAAAAATTCTGACTTCAATTGTATGCTGAGCACTGTATATAATAGATGCATTTACCCAACGTTCACAAGTAGCATTTTCACTTGATTTTCACTGTATACGTGTAGAGTCTTTATACAAGAAATAATATCTATGCGGCGAGGCAGTGGCGCAGTAGGTAGTGCTGTCGCCTCACAGTAAGAAGGTCGATGGGTCACTGGTTCGAACCTCGGCTCAGAACCTCGGGAAGGGCATCCGCTGCGTAAAAAACTTCCTGGAAAAGTTGCTGGTTCATTCCGCTGTGGCGACCCCGAATTAACAAAGGGACTAAGCCGACAAGAAAATGAATAAATAAATTAATATCTATAAATATAAAAATATAATATATAATATATAAATATAAAATAAAAATAAATATCTATGCATATTGCATTTTAGGGTGGATGGGGGTAAATGGCATCTAAAAGATCGAAAACCCCTGCATTATGACAAGCAGCTTTTTATAGACTCATGACTGAATTATGCCGACAGAGGGCACTGTTGTATTTCTAACTTAAATTCACCTTTTCACTGACATCTCTGCTTGTAATATAGAATATGTATAAAGCCAAAGGCTCTATACATCGATAAACCACGTGTTTTTATGTTATTCTCATGGATAGACGGTCCACAATATTTTTCACAAGATGAAATGAGAGCACTCGACTTTGCTGTCTAAGAGTGATTTAATTTGTTTGACAGGGAAGCAAAATGTATGCAAATCACTACAGCACTGCCCACTAGATTTGAACCAAAAAGCTAATATATGATTCGAGCTCAAACTGCCTAAGAAGAATACTTGGAGGTAAATTACTGTAAATAACTGTAAAATAATTCTCAAATTACAGTATGTGTTTAGAAAACTGCTTTTATTGTCTCCATGGTTGCCAAACAGACCTGTATATTTAATAAACAACCTGCGACGATGTGTGTCAATATTAATATTTGTGCCTGAGCTGTGTTATGTTATCCTCGTCACCAGCGGGTGACACACGTCAGGCTCAAGCGGTTCCGATTCACCTGAGCCAGTCTCACAACCACACCGCTCATGCGCGCTCCCGACGTACACCGCATGCGCAGAACGTCAGCAGGCTGTAATGCACTGCATCCTTGAGCGTCGCTGCAGCGCTGGCCGCGCAGAATGCCGCTGATACCAACACACACCTTCTCTAGGATACACGCACCTGCCGCAACAGGGGAAAACTAGTGCTTATTTCCCTTACACTGTTTAAGGTAAGTTCTTTAACCCAGTTTAAAGTGTATGCTTAGGCCCCGTTTACACTAGTGCGTATTAGTTTTAAAACGGCGTTTTAGAATGAAAACGATCCGCGTCCACACTCGCGTTTTACCCAGCGTTTCTGAACTGCTCTCCGTCCACACCAAAACGCTGAAAACGCACATCACGTGACCACACACACACACTTTGGCAATCGCTGGAGCCCATCTACCCAGATGAGAGCTCTGCTAGTCGGACTTCTCATCAAGCATCTCCCGCTGGATCTAATCTCACTATATTTATAAAACGTGATATTTCATTCATCTTGTTGTCTTTATCTAACGACATATTCCCTGACTTTGGTCACTGGAATCTATTACTTGTTCTCAGGTAACGTGTTTTGGCTGAGCGCAAAGATAAGTTAATGATTAATGTAAGCACGTAGCCTACATTCTGTATATTGACTGATCGCTTGCCTTTATTTCCTATAATGTATAAACTTATTGTATGTTATACTTTTATAATGGCCATTATCGATTATTAAAACTGATATTCAGCAAAAGAGAGGGTGTGTTTCGTATTTTCACTGAAATTGAAAGGAGGCAGTTGTTATCGGCTCCGTTTTGTTATAAATATGCACACAGTGAAGATGACGCTCATGCAGCACGGCGCCTCAACATTTCTGCTGTCTGTTTAGTTGTTAATATTAAAATAAAAATAGGCAGTTCCTTATATCAAGTTTACATTTTATTGTTGAGAAAGTGAAACAACGTAGCCAAGGTGATGTGAATGAAGTTATAAAGTACACTGTTCCCTGTGAAGATTGACGCTGGTCCTCGGTATGTTTTCCATATCAAACTGAGAAGAAGAGATGCAGCCTTGATCAAACTTGCGAAGTCTGAACTTACACGGAGAAGATTCAGGACTGAACTGTGTGTTAGGCTACTTAATATTGAGGAAAAGCCCCAATCAGAGAGGCGAATGTCTGCAGCCCCGCCTCCGTTTTCAGATATCTCCGTCTTTCCCCATCCACACTGAGACGGAGCTGCAGCGTTTTAGAATGAAAACGGCCTCTCCAGCGTTTTCGAAACGCTCCGTTTTCGGCGCTCGAGAACTCCGGCGTAGTGTGGACGGATGGCGTAACCGTAGCAAAACTTATGCGTTTTCAAACTAAAACGCATTAGTGTAAACGGGGCCTTAGTCGTATACATTTCGTTCAGCCTTTACTCTTTTATCTGCGGCTGACGGATTTTGTTTGCTCTAGCGATGTCCTAGAGATACACATATACCTTGCGTTCAGACTCATTTAACGGCTTGATTATATTGAAGGCATCATTTTAATAGTCTTCCCTTGAAAGCACCACATAGGTTAAATATCATTTTTAATGACTATATATATATATATATATATATATATATATATATATATATATATATATATATATAGGCTATTACACTGTGATGTAAATATTAACGCATGGGTTTTATTCATTTATTGATTGTACTATTTGAGTCTTAACTCTCATGTCTGATCGATCCATTAGTGTTTCCGTCTCATTAACACTCAGGTTTGATCTGTAGCCTTCAGTGTGGTCGCTGTCACCCTACAGGATGCATCACTAAAGATCACAGTAATGGTGTAACCTCACTCGTCCCATGAGTCAGCTCCCCTGTAATCTGAACATGTTGTTCAGACTTTAATAAGAAAAGTATACCATGGTTCCTGCTCCAAAGCCCTCCTTTATTTAACAATGTTGTGCTTGCATGGTCAGTAAACATTACATCATCTGAAATCTGTTAGTCACAGCAGGCTGTATTTTATGAATGTACATTGACAAGAGAAAAGTGTAAAGTACGAAGGTATACGTTTGACTGATTCTGTTGCTTATCAGCTTGCCCCATCAGAGACCCTTAGGGCTATTACTAGTGCTTTTGTGCTGCTTTGTCAAAGATTGTGATGTGCTTTATTGTAATCCTCTGAAGCCAGCTTCTTTAGTAACCCATCCCATTTCTCATGGTGAGATGAATTGTAGACAATCCATTCAGGAGTTGTGGAACAAAGCTTAGAGAAAAGTTTTCCCTCAGGGTGAGGTCAACGGGGGAGGGTGCTCGTCTGTTGTCATATTGCCACGGTAACACACCCTAAAGTAAGGGAACTCGATTGGCAAAAGCCCCCCTAAAGTACTCACTTGATTGATTACGGTGTAACACTATCATAGCACGACTGTGAATTTGTGTATTGTTTTGGAATTCTGACAGTTTAGCCTTTCCTGTTTTAGGAAAAGTTTTTACCAGTTTAGCTTTTCTATTTTGGGGTGATAGAGTATTAGTGATGTTCATGCACAATTAAAAAAAAAGTTTTCATAGAGATGCTTGTATTTTTGGATCCTGTTTATGTGATGGCAAGGTTCCATTGAAGTTAAAGGTTCTTCATCCTGGAACCACTGATGTCAATCATGTTCTTTTTTATTTTTGAATGTTTAATATAAAAAAAAAATACAAATAGACTTTAAAGGTCTAATATTTATTAATAAAAAATTTCTAAATTGAAGACAATACATCACCCATCATGCAGTGTATTTGATATTTGTAATGTTTATTTACAGTTATGCTTAATAAATTACATGAATTAACAATTAAAAATGTTTATCTGTATCTGTGAAAATTGAGTCAGGGTAAACATAAAATAGACGGTTATTCCATGATAGTTAATTTAGAAATTGTTTCAAGGGATACTTTTAATATAGCTACTACTTTAATTATATTATTGAATATTTAAATTATTTTTTTAGTTTTGTGTTCATTCCTATGATTTATCTTTACCCAAACATTTCCATTTACTGAAATATTTTCCATTCTACATTTTACATATTACATTCCGTTCTAGACTACATTACATACACGTGTTACATATTCAGTCAATTGTCAATGCTGTATTTATCATTTCAACTGTTTAAGCTTACTTGTAATACTTGTTTCAACTTAACAAAAAATATTTTTTGCAGTTTTAGTTTAGTTAACAATAACATCACATGCATCACGACAGTCTCTGGTGACACAATACTTCTAATAGGCTCTAAAGGGACTAAATTCACCAATAAGCCTCTTGCTCTTTCATTTGCACACGTAAACATCAGGTGTTTGGGCTTCAGCTTCCCCTCCCACCCACTGTCGCCATGGCAACCAAAGCGCGTCTTGTGTCCCACTGCCTGAATCACTTCCTTGAGTAAAATGAATGAAACATTAGAAATCTAGTACTTACTATTTTGTAGATATGTAAATGCAGTTTTACCGAATGTCAAGATGCATTATGATTGTATTATAACGAGAGGTTTGATTTACACCCATGGCCTAATATTTCAACTCTCTGTGTACACATCAGGCCATTTATATTTTATTGCGGTCATTTCACTGTCTAGTTTTCCTCACTGTGCCTATGGGGAATAAACCACTTAGTGGGGTTTGTAATGACTGTGGAAGACAGAAAAATCTTTGTTATTTGTATATCATGTCAAGCCATTGGCTGTTTACAGTGACTGCACTGTGATATGAGAATGTCTGCATGTGTGTGTTCATTGATAGTTCGCTATAGTTATCACATAGGGTCAAATTTAGCACAAGTGTGAGCATATGTGAGAGATTACACTAAATTAGATACTCTTTATTCACACTTGGGGTACTGTTTTCTTGGTTCTTTTGAACAAGAACAAAGGAAATAATACATTCTGATTTATATAGCATTCATGCCTGAAGATATATATATATATATATATATATATATATATATAAAAATAAAAAAAACTACTGTACTGTACACTCACCGGCAATTTTATTAGGTACACCTGTCCAACTTCTCGTTAAGGCAAATTTCTAATCAGCCAATCACATGGCAGTGATTCAATGCATTTAGGCATGTAGACATCAAGATGATCTGCTGCAGTTCAAATCAAGCATCAGAATTAAACGTGCCTTGTGTCAATGCTTTAGGCTCGTAGCGATGGTGTAATGGTGTGGGGGATATTTTCTTGCACACTTTGGGCCCATTACTGCTAATTAAGCATCGTGTCAACGCCACAGCCTACCTGAGTATTGTTGCTGACCATGTCCATCACTTTATGACACCGCTTTCTAATGGCTACTTCTATTAGGATAATTCACCATGTCATAAAGTGCAAAACATCTCAGACTGGTTTCTAGAACATGACAATGAGTTCAGTGTACTCAAATGGCCTCCACAATCACCAGATCTCAATCCGATAGTGCACCTTTGGGATGTGGTGGAACGGGAGATTTGCATTATGGATGTGCAGCCGATAAATCTGCAGCATCTGCATGATGCTATCATGTCAATATGGACCAAAATCTCTGAAGAATATTTTCAGTACCTTGTCGAATCTATGCCATGAAGGATTAAGTTATGGAGGCAAAAGAGGGTCCAACTCGATACCCGGCACCTAACAAAGTGGCCAGTGAGTGTATATGTGTGTACATATGACAGTATTTTTTAGCAGTTGAGAACTTGTGAATGTTTAAAAAAAAAAGGCAAAACCATGAAAATAATTCCTCATTTGCACACAAATGAAGTTCTGCTATTAAAAAAAAAAAAAAAAAAAAAAAACACTTTTTCCGTGTATGCTTAAGCATTCTGTCATTTTTACAATCACATCTTGTGATATCATGTTTTGGCTCATTTACTGTGATGTCTTGAGAGGGGTCTGGACCTGGTACAGATGCAATCTGAGCTGCATGCAGTGCTTTTTAGTGGGCTCACCTAACACCACCCCTAACCCTATCCCTCACATTGACGTCACTAGCTCCATTGAGTGCATTTTGTCTGACATTGCATCTCTGAGTGATGCAGTCTCAGCTTGCATCATAAAGGCTGCATCCAGATACTGTAGGATGTCTTTGTTGTTCTGTGTTAGATTCATACATCAGTCATTTACATGTAAACTACATTATTTTGTGTGTGAATCAGACTATGCATGAAATCGAACACCAGAGTTCATTTTAATTT